CTCTCTCTCTCTCTCTCTCTCTCAGGCTTCAGAATTTAACTCTCCATGTTATCGCGTCTCATGGCCAAGCAGTTGTTGATACCATGTCACTTTGTTCACTGACAGAATAATTACGGATCATTTAGCACGCAGACGACTCCACGCCGTCCACGGGCATCAGACATTGGCTGTGGAGATGCGGTTACCAAGGGCCGAGAATTCCCCATTCACACAAAAAGGAAAACAAGAAGACAAGCAAATAATCAGGGCAATATGACAGTTTCAGTGCAAAATTCGGCCGGAAAAAAAAAAAAAAAAAAAAAAAAAAAAAAAAAAAGAAACACCCACACCCCCTGTTAACCATGTGTGATGTCAGTAGGATGTTGGTGGAGTCGGGCAGCTTTTAGTTTGCAGATGGCTATTGAATAGAGTTATGAAAACACAGGTTGGGCTCTTCTTGTTTCGTTTTACTAGCATTGAAGGAGCGCCTCAGTTGTGGGCAGGTTGATAGAGTAAAACTTTGTTTGGAATGGGGTTCCTGTTTGGCTTAGGAGTAGTAGTTTTTCCGGGTCCCTGGTGGTCCTGTTACAAGCGAACTCTGGGTAATGCTCCCAGTCCCGGGTGGATTTGCAGAGGTCCTCGGCTCCGGTTTCGTATTGATTGAATCAAAGATCTGTGAAAGACGAAATAGGAAGAACAGGATTATTCTGCTGTAGGTATTGTTCACATGAGCCTCCTGGGTTACCTGTTACGCTAAACCGGCTGATGCTGCCGGGATAACTCCAGGTTGAATTGGTGAGGTCCTCGGCCTCTATTCGAATGTTTTGGAAAAGGAAATCAATTGATCCAAAAAAAAAAAAAAAAAAAAAAAAAAAAAGAAAGAAGAAGAAGAAGAAGTGTGATGTCAGAAGACATCGGCGGTTCAATTCTCCGCACTACACAGAGTTCAGTTCCTAAAGCTTACGGCATGATGACGCCCTCATTCCTGGCGGATTAGCCATCTGATGCATCGCAATTTTCCAAATGATGATCATCTTGTTGTCGTTAAGCACTCTGCACTCCACAAGCACCCGCCGCCAGCCATTTCGTGGACGTACATGACTGCCGGCGCCCAGTTAATTCTTCGTTCAAGATTGTTGTTATTTTTTATTTTATTTTTTAAGAATTGAGAGGCTCCACATCTAGTGGTGGGGAGCATCACCTGCTCGGGAAAAAAAAAAAAAAACACTATTGGACATCCCCATAGCTGGGAAACATACTGGTGGCTTCAGCCGTGAAAGCCACGCCCACAACTAATGACCTTCAGAGCTCAAAGATTACAGCAAACTGAAACCGAAAAAAAGTGCCCTGTTTCGCAGCTACCGGAGACTGGTGGACGTAAAAATCCACTTACTTAATCAAACAAACAAACAAACAGACAAACAAACAAACAAACAAACAAACAAACAGACAAACAAACCAACAAACAAACAAACAAACAAACAAACAAATGCTACGGAATTCTTTGGACAATCCAACAAATGTGTTCTGTCCTTCTTCATCTGTTGTTTCCGCCCTCCTCTTTGCTATTAAAATTTAAAATTAAAAAAATGATTGAATGGCACAAACACTATTAATAATTCTGTCTATAAGCCACAATAAAAAAGACTGTGTCTTTACGACTCTTAAAAGTCTTGAAAAAAGAAAAGGCCCACAATTTAACCAATTTCTCTTCATGATACAATTTACATGGTTTCCTGTTTATCAACTTTATCATGTTTACACCTCGTACCTACACCTAGGAGCCTCCTCCCCTTGATTGATCACATTCACACTTGCACCTATCCTCTTCCCTGGGATAGAACGCCCGACCATTATTGCTGTATCTAGAGTGAAAATTGCCCAAAATACAGCTATAATGACGGTGCGTTCTATTCAGGTGAAGACCTTAGGAGCTTTCTTCCCCTGCCCATTATCATCTAATCTGTCTTTCCCATACACAAGATTTATCCCCGTGTCTGTTCTGTTCGGGTGACGACGGCAAACAGAGGTCTAAATTTTTCCCCACCTGCCTGCTGCCACTAATCATCTGCACCTCGGAGCTCTCTCCACCTCTCACTGATCACAACTACCGCCTTCACCTGAACAGAACCCTGCCCTGTCATTATCGCCGTATCTAGACTGAAAGATGCCCCAGCTACAGTTATAACGACTGTGCGTTTTGTTCCAGTGAAGACAGTAGTCTGGCATCGACTACCGTCTTCCCCCGAACATAACGCGTACGAGTTGTAAATGAATACGAGGCATATGTCGCTTTCTATCTGAATACAAAGCACATGTGTTCTATCCGAATCATCGTGTTTTTTTTTTTTTTTTTGAAAACTCGGATACAACACATATTCGTTATGTTTGCGGGAAGACGGTAGCCTAGCACCACCAGATCTGAAAAAACTACTCCTTTCCCAGAGTTACAGCATGGTTGAGCAATTGATAGCAACTCTAAGGCCGCTCTGCGCCCATGGTTCGAATCACAAGAAAGGCGGTCGTCTGTCATATGGCCAAGCACTCGTACCCTCCTCCAGTGCCATTGAGAGTTATGTCCCACCTGCTCGAGGAAGTAAAACATCCAAAGCAACGGACCTCCTCAAGGGACGATACCCACACGTACCGTCTGCTCGAGGTAGCGGAGATACAAGTCATACAAGTCACGAGCAACGGACCTTTCAGGGCCAATATACATGTACATAACCTCTCTTTCTTTACGCCCCACCTGCTCGAGGTAGTGAGAACGTGTGAAGCAACAGACCTCTCAGGGACGATACGCATATGTACCGCCTGGTCGAGGTTGTGACCATCCGAAGCGACGGACCTCTTGGCGACGACACGCACATGTGCACAACATCAATCTCTCTTACGAGTCCAAACGCGAAGCCTGACACCTGGCCATGCTCAATGCCAACACTCGCCGTTCTGCATTTCTCACACCTCTCTTCGAGCGGAAATCCTTGCTCCGCCTGCGCATAGATCTCCATCTATATAACAAGGGGGTATACACAACCATAGCTACACAAGAAGATTCACGCCTTTTCTCACTCCCCACCGATCAGCACTCGACAATCTTTCGACTTTTTGACTTCTACGGTTCTACCGTTTCGCCTATACCCAGGGGGGTGGACACAACCATAGCTACACAAGAAGATTCATGCCTTTTCTCACTCCCCACCGATCAGCACTCGACGATCTTTCGCCTTTACGACTTCTACGGTTCTACCGTTTCGCCTATTACCCACATATCAAAGCCGAAGCTCGTTGCCTCGCCTCTCTTACCTACACTAAATTTTGTCACTGCTGCCAATACACAGTGGTTCGCATGGAACTATCATACGTACCGCACGTAAGATTGGTGCCATTAGCTTCTTCAGCCGATTGGTAATTGCGTTGTATATCTTACTGGCAGTGCTGCCCTTTATTATTTCTTCAAAGTTGTTTTTTAACTCCCTTTCGCTTTGCTGCTTCTGCCGTTCTCCCGCCTCTCACAGCTGAATCCTGTTGCCGAGGTACCACAGATGAGCTGTTAGTCCTCCAAAGGATACCACATTACACATGGAGGACAATCCATGTACAATGCCGAATCGTTTGTTTATCGCCGCCAGCGCCGGGTTTGTCTTCGCTTCCTCTCTGTTCCTTGACAGCCCCACCTCTCCTCCAAGGCCGGCCTCCCGCTCAATTTTGTGTCTCTGGAACATGATCTGTGGCAATCAGGAAATGCAAACAGTTATAATAGATTGAGGGGCCACAAAGGAAAGGAAATGACAGCCAAGAGCAAGCCGGCCACCTACCCACACGCAAAGATATCCTATGGTTTAGGGTTTTACCAGGCAGCCGTCAAGGGACGGGCTGAGAGGGATAGCATTAACTGGTCTGTCTTGGGTGCCTGCTTTTTCAAAAGGGGTAGAACCAAAATAGAGGGAGGGGGGATGCAAAAGCATGGGCTAAATTGGCAGTTAATCCTTCTCGAAAGGAAGCAATCAATGCTGTCAGAGGAAGCAATCAATGCTGTCAGGGCTCACTGGGCCGTAACGCGGGGAGGCGTTTGAGTGAGGTAGATATACCAGTGGGTTTTCGTGAGGTAGATATACCAGTGGAACAAGAACCGTACTGACACTCCCACTTGGGCTTCTGTTTCTGAAAAACAAAACATTATTTAAAAAAAAAAGTCACACATCTATATAATATACCGTCAAGTATATTGTCACACACACACACACACACACACACACACACACACACACACACACAAGGTTCAGCTTCATGATGAGTCGGTGAAACTCCGACGAAACAGTTTGTCACAGCCCCTCGTTTGTTGTCCTCTTCTCCCTCCCTCTCTGCCAACGGTTTATATCATCAAACAGAGCTGCCCAGTAAACCGTAGGCAGAGAGGGAGGGAGAAGAGGACAACAAACGAGGGGCTGTGACAAACTGTTTCGTCGGAGTTTCACCGAATCGTCAGGAGGCTGAACCCTCAACAGTCTGTAGAATCCCCTAACTGATTACACTGTAAGTGATAAGCATCAACGACTGCCCGACAACCGATACCCTGAGGTGGGCACCAACCACTGCCCTCAAGGTACCTGTGACGAAAATCAAAGCAGACTATCACTCACCCACACCAGATGGAAAACTCTACAGACTGTCGGTTCACACCCCATCACAAGCCAGCAAAACACCCACTAAATAAAGAAAGGTCTGTCACAGCCAAAAGAATACACTCCTTTATATTGTCACATAGCTATGAGCTAAAAGAGCCCAGCGCACTTTGCAAAAAAAAGGACAAAAAAACAAAAAACAAAGGCACATTGAAACCATTCAATTTCTCATTATTCTTTCCCCTACAATGTCCCTCTCACGTACACGCCACGTTGATGAAGTTGAGTGCGAGCTGCACCCATCCCCGTGTGCCATAACAGCCCACTTGTACGCTGTGAGAAAGAGGCAGAGTGAAGGGGGAGGGGATAAACACAGGGAAGAGAGATGGAGAGAAGACACACAAAGAATGATAAAGGGAAAGTAAGAGAAAGTATGAAGTGTGGAGTGAAGATGAGCAAAAGATAAGAAAAGGCTCAATAGTGAGTATGTCCTTGACGACAGAGAGGACATACATTTGTAAGGATGAGGTGGGTGAACACATGGAAGACCTAGCTGAGCATTCTCAGTACGACAACTGCCACGACGACTGGCATTGAGCATGCCCACCATACAACCCCGACAAATGGCATGTCGATTGCAGGCCAAAATGAAGGAAGAACGGTTGTCACCACAAAAGACCATGCATCAGTACAGCGCCCATGGCTGCAAAATGGACATATAGTGTCCGGATGCGGAGGGTGTCTGCAGTCAGGAACGGAGGGACAGTCCTCTACACACATGCCTGCAGAAACCATGTCATTGTAGCAATTGTGACACAGACGATGGCAGCTACACCCGAGTGAAACAGTGTCTGTAGCCGTGTAAACGAGAAGGTTGCAGAGTGTTGGTACATTGTCTTGCTGCAGCACGGGCCCAGAGGAATGATCTCCTACATAAAAGAGATTGCCGACGGTTTGTTGTGGCAAGAAAACAGCATCATTATGTAAGAAATCAATGACATCAGTCATGGCATAGACCATGGTGCCATTGTCCCACAGCTCCCAGTGGTCAGAGGCATGTACAATGGCCATGTAATGGCCAGGTCCGTGCACAATGCAGGCAGAGATGTGGGATGGAGGATTAAAACCACTCACCTGCTCGAGCACTGCGTAGTTCAAGTTGCTACTTGCAGGACAGCAATGGTAAAGCCTCCTTCGCTGGTATAATTACAATGATACAATCCTCTGGGTGTAGTTGCGGAAGATCAGCATCAAGCTGAAGGGCAAGGGCGATTGCAAGGAAGTCTGACGGTGTATACAACGGGCGGTGGAGAATGTGAAGACAGATATTAGGTTGCCGTCAGACCACAGAGACTGGTGAGGTTCTCAGGCTGGTTTGTTGGCTGCTGGCCAACAATGTGCAGATCACCCCTACGATCCGGACGTCCGCAGCGCAGTCCAGACGGTCTGGATTCAGTCCGGACTCCAGACGTCCGGTCCGGAAGTTCGGGATCTGCCAGATTTCAAGGCAAAAAAAAAAAAAAAAAAAAAAAAAAGGGTCCAGCACACTTCCCTACTGAGGAGCGAAGCCCCCAAGATTGTTTTGGGGCGTTTTCAGGCCCGTTTTTGTTTTTTTGGGGGGGTCCGGACATGGTCTATCTCTATAATAATTTATTAGACATACCCATTTTTTCCATTATTAATAATTCATAACTTTTTTGCAAGGAAGATGACCGATAGCGAACTTCAGCAATCAAACAGCATCATGCACATGGGACCAGATAGTCGTGACCTCGAACCAATAGCAGAATTGCATCACGAGTTTCACCAAATAAGAGCACAGCAAAAGCTCATAATTGACAATGCTGGAATAGTCTCATCATCATCAACGAAGAACCAATGTTGATATCCTATCTGGCGCTCGGCGCCCAGACTACGAATGGCAGATCCTATCTAGCCTAGACTACAATGCCGCTGATGACGTCAACAGCTTCCCAAGTATGAGCAGATCTCGGCCAATGCCGCACGCCTCAAGCACCAGGTATGTCTCTCGTATCACTCACAACCTCGTTCCCCAACTCACAGATGCCACTTGCACCCAAGGACCACCATGCGCCCCATCTGCCATACAGCAGCGCAGCTCGGCTATGGCTGCCTGCTCCTTCCAGCTCGCCCGTGAGCGCGTGAGCGCTGGCCAGCGATAGGGCAGCAGCGCTTGCGCACAATGCAGCCAGTGCCCGAATGTCCAATGTGTGGGCAGGCCCTTCCCTATATCGAAGTGGCCTGCTACTGCGTGCTGTGCTGCGGTACTGGGCCCCAGCCCAGAAGCTTCTGGTAGGCCCAGGGAGGCTGAGCCTCAGTCCAAACGAATCAGGCCCAGGGCCACCGACAGTTACCCGTGCCCAACTGCCCACAGTCTGAGTTGGGTCCATGCTGCGTATCTCGCCCAGGGCCTGACTTAGATACATTTGATAAAGGAGGCCAGGGCTGGGCGCCTTCAACCAACTGGCGTTGCGCAACTGCCTGAATTTTACCCCAGTTGCGAAGTTGTCCAAAATAGGCCTCTTGTCGCCTGTCGAGCCTGCCTTCACTTAGGGCGGCCGACCTGTTGCAAAGAGGGGCCCGGTAGGGCTTATTGAGGCCTTGTGCCTCGCATTTTAATATATATATATATATTTTAAATGCAATGATCTCGCCGTTCACACACGAGCTACACTCACATCATCACACATGCACAACCTCCCGAATGAATAGCACAGCACACAAGTTAAGAACACTTCCAAAATTGCTCGAAGTTCCAGGCAGGCTTATGCAACATCTCATGTCTTACACACTCGCAGCTATGGGCGCCAACTTCCACTCAGGTAAGTCTCCTCTCTTCTCTCTCACTATACTCTACTCCCACAGGTCTCAACCTCTCTTGCTCTCCCCATTAGCTATGGCGCTGAGCGTCATCGACTACACTACTATGCCTCTCAGTCTCACTAGTTGCGTCACTGCACAAGACCGCAACAGCGCTTCCGCGTTAGGCACAAATGGAAATTGTGTTGTCGTTGCTGATACCAGCCTTATGTACTTGCCGTGGTTTCCAAATTTGGGACTTCCCGGAGCGGTACCGTTTTGCCTGCCAGCCGCGGTCCGCTTCCCACGCATCCACAGTGTTCACCGACTTTCCGGGGACTGGGCTGCATTTTGACTGACATGCTCTCAAACGGACTGGGCCTACCAGATTGCTAACATACACCCCCGTTTCCTACAGACTGCTCTTCTGGCAAGCCGAGCTCCCAAAGGGTTAAGGGATTGAGTCCCTTTACTTCTGTACGGTTCCTACCGGTTGGGACTATATTACAAGGGCCTCTGGGACTCAGAACTGGGACCGGGACTTCTGGAGCACATGAAATCCTTTCGGAAGCAGAATCGCATTTCCCAGTTCCCTTGTAGGAGCTTCGATCGACTCTGCAGCGCTTCCGGTTCAAACTGGAAAACCCCGACATACATACCATGGAAGTTATGAACATACACTGGAAAGCAGGTATAATACAGTCCATTGTACCAGTGTTACTTCAGCAGACGCTTGTTGCACTCGGGGAGAGGGGCAGCTATATTCATTAATGCCGTGACGCTGAGAATTGGGCATAGAAACCAATTCCAGCAGTAGACTACCGGTCGGTAGTAGTGTCATATAATCCACTCCCTTACCACAGCAAATGTTTTCCTCCCTCACTATAAATACAACAGAATTGCAACAGTGCGGCCACCCTTGTGTCCAAGGCCACGCTAAGCGAGAAAGTCCCCAGTCATCGATCCCAAGCCCCGCCAGCCAAAGGAGAAGGATAAGAATCATAAGATCCTCAGTTCATCAAAATGTCGCCTCCGACAGAGAGGTATCAGTACAGATAGTTGCAAGCCAACTATCTCAGCAGATGAACACCAAGCACAACGCAAGCGACCGCGGGGGATTGAACCCACGACCTCCTGAATGTCACTTGCATGCGAAACCAACTGAGCTAGGCCACTGGCCTCTCTGATACCCTCTTTTTTTAACTCCCTGTGGCACGCCTATTGTTTTGCTGCTGCTGTAAAATAAAAGGTGACCCTCCATCGCTAAATAGTAAATACCCCAT